ACGCAGGCGCGGCGTGGCCGGCAGCGTCACAGGGCGGGGCGCTAGGAGGCAGCAGCCCACCCCCCCTTTTGTTCTTTCCGGAGACGGAGCCTGATTGGCCGGCCGGGACCGGACCGCTTGATTGACAGTCGAGGGTCCGGACCGAAGGTGCGGGGGAGACCACGGTTCCGGGGGCGGGTCGTCGATCCAAGGGTCGTGACCCAGAACCCGAGCCAGTCCTGCGGCGCTTCCCGAAGCTCCTCCGGCAGTTTCGGTCACTGGTGCCCGACCAGCTAAGAGCGCCTGCCAGGAGGTGCTGCCTCCTTGGATGGCGGGGAATTTGCATGTCTCTGCTTTCAATTTAGGGTGAAAAAGGAGAAAAATTAGTAATTCGTCGGGATCAGAAATGTGACATCTGATTCTCGGGGAGGACGGTATCCATTTCACAAGCAGCCGGAAACCTAGAGAGTGAAGAGGAAATCAGAATTTAAGTGCCTTCCAGCCAGCCTTTCCCTGTCTCTCAGTTACAGACTTGCCACCACCTGTCCGCGTTCAGCAGACCTCCACTTGACATTTGGACCCAGTAGCGCTTTACAGCCTCAAAATAACTCTAAATATCATCCAGATTCACTTTATAGATAAGTAGCCCTGTGACTTCAAACACTGGTACCTAAATTAACAAGGGGGAAGTTAAGTATTCATAAACACAAGGTACCGATGCTTTCAAGGTTCATGTCTTAAAGCTCTTCTCAATAGAAGGTTATTAATAGGGGTGGGGAGAAGAAGGGTTGAATACGCAGAGCACAAATGAGATTTAGGGCAGTAAAAATGCTTTGTATGATATTATAATGATAGACGTATGTCATTATGCTTTTGTCCAAGCTCTCAGAATGTTCAGCAACAAGAGTGAACCTGAGAGTAGTGTGAGCTTAGGATGATTATGATGTGTCAGTGTAGTTTTATCATTGGTAAAAAGTGTACCACTCTGGTGAGTGAGTGGATAATGGGGAAGGCTGTGCATGTGTAGGGGCAGGAGGTATGTGGGAAATCTTTGTACCTTGCTCTCAGTTTTGTTGTAAACCTAAACTTCTACTTTTAAGAAGTCACTTTAAAAAAGTCCTTGACACTTAATCTGTGCCAAAAAGCCTGAGATGGAGAAATAAGGTTCCTGTCCTCAAGAAGCTGCCAGTGGAGGGAGGGGGTGGACCAAGGGTGATTTGGATAATGAAGACAAATATATGGCTGATTTGTTCCCCAAGGTGCCACGTAACTCTATGAGACTCTCTAAAGGTTCTGGGAATGGGGAACTTTTTCAGCCTGGGGAAGGGACCACCGTTCTGATCCATAGATTATTTTTAAGTATATTGTTTAGCTTCCAAGTTCTGGGATTTTTCTACTAGCATTTTCTTAATTGATATCCAGTTTGAGTCCATGTAGTTGGTGCACACTCTATGTAATTTCAGTCCTTTGAAATTTGTTGGTTAGTTTTTATGGCTAGGATTTGGTCTATCTTGGTACGTGTTCTGTGGGTGCTTAAAAAGAATGTGCTTTCTGTCATTGTGAGATGTCCTACAAATGTCGATTCAATCCTGTTGGTTGATGGTATTGTAAAGCTCTTCTATATCTTTGCTGACTTTTTATCTGTTCTATCAGGTACCAAGAGAGGAGTCTTTAAGTCTCCAAGTGGTAATTGTGGATTTGTCTGTTTCTCCTTTCAGATCTATTAAATTTTGTCTCTGGAAAGATGCACACAGCTAAGAGCATTGTTACCCAGGTGAAGGAGAAAAGGGTACCTGGACAGCAGGAAGCGAGATTTTTCAATTCGTACACTTTGCCATCAATTCAATTTTGAACTATGAGAATTCCCCCCGTTTTTCTGTCAACAACCTCTTTCCATGCTGCTTCTTCCACCACTTCAGGTCTTTAAAAAAATTTATTTGCAAGAATTACTCATATTCTGAGTAGAAGTTATTTTCAGGTATGTGTATCACAGATGCCTTCTCCACTCTGTTGCTTGCCTTTTGCTCTCTTGATGTTGTCTTTCCTTGTCTTAAATTTAACGACGCCCATTTATCAGCATTTCCCTTTACGGTTGGTTGGTACTGATGTCTTGCTAAAACCTTGTTTTCTTATCCCATGGTCACGATATTCTGCTGTTAGCTGTTATTTTCTAGAGGTATGTCTTTCACATTTAGACTTACAATCTATCTCGGATTGATTTGGGGGGTGGTAATTAAGTTTATTTATTTATTTTTAGAGGAGGTACTGGGGATTGAACCCAGGACCTCGTGCATTCCAAGCACGCACTCTACCACTTGAGCTATACCCTCCCCCCGAATTGATTTTTTTGCATGAGGTAGGGGTTAAGGTTCATCCCTTCTCACCTCCCAGTGACATTCAAATAATGTAGCACTATTTTTTGAAAAGAACCTTCCTATTGGATCACAGTGGCTCTTTCGTGGGAAGAAGAACGTGACTACACACCTGTAGTCTGTTTCCGGCCTCCCCTTTTCCATCGGTTTTTTAATTTATCTTTGCGCCAATATCACACTGCTTCAATTGCTGGAGCTCCAACCCTGTGTCCCCTCTCTTTCCCTAGAGCGCACAGAACTCGAAACCTTTCGAATTGCCTACCAGCGCCTTGCGGGACGCAGCCCAGTGCGCATGCGCAGCCCACGGTCTGGGATTGGACGAAGCCGCACCGCTGGGCGACGGAAAAGCACGTCACTTGTGAGGCGGGAGGATGGAGTTGACTCACCATGGTCTCCGCAGCGACCAGGTAGGGCTTGCGGGAGGAACCTGGCTGGCGAGGGGCGCGGCGAGTCCCGGCTCGAGCGCACTTCGCGCGGCTGAGGGGAGGAAGCGGTGCGGAGGCCGCGGACCAGAGGGCCCCTCGCTCGGCGTTTCCTGGCTGGGGAGCCCGCGACTCCGCTCTGAGCCTCGGCTTGCGCGGCTGCAGATGGGCGTAGGCTGGCGGCGACCGCGGTGTCCCCGATTCTGCGCGTGCGCCGCAGCCCCGCCCCCGCGCAGGTGGCACGTGGCAGGTGGCACGTGGCAGGTGGCAGGTGGCGTGCCCGAGGCGGACGGCACCTGGCCTGGTGTGGGGCAGGACGGCAGGTGCCCGTGTTGCGAGGCAGAGCCGGGGGCCGGCTGCTGCGCCCCCGCGGGATGGCTGCTGTGGAGCTCTGGCTCCGCCGCTTCCCAGGCTGTGTGGCCAGTGTCCTCAGCTGTAAGCTGGGAACCCTCACGTGGTTCTCGTGAAGCGTAGTGAGGTCGGCGTGGACTGTACTCCGCTAGCGTGTGGCGCGGGTTAGGTACTCAACAAATCGTGCCCGTAGAACTCTTTTCAATTCCTTTTGCTATAGTGATTTGAGATTTGACAGGTTTCTTTTGTTTTGTGCGTATTGTTTATTTTTTTGACAAGTTACTTTTGAAGTAACTTTTTTTTTTTTAACGTTGGTACCGGGGATTGAACCGAGGACCTCGTGCAGTCTAAGCACGGGCTCAACCACTGAGCTACACCCACCCACCTGAAGTAACTTTTGGACTTCTTCTTCACACGTATTTAGCGAACTTCTCTTAATGGAGTTACCAGAAAGTGCTTTTCACGTCTTCCACCCTGTGTGTGGGGAAAGCAAAGAGAAAGTCGTTTTCTAGAAAAGCGGCAGATACAAAGAGGGAGCCTCAGCTTGGTGATGCAGAGAGAATTAGCAAAACTGATCTTAATTCTTCTGAAGGATAGGGAAGGAACTAAGTTTCTTGGGCACCCACCAGAGTGAGTGTTGTAGATACCTCTCACTCCTCACCACAGTGTAAATCCTACTCCTCCTCATATAGGGGCTGCTTTGGAAGGTCCTTGCTGAAGCATGTATATTTAAAACTAGTCTGGGTTGTTGCCATAACACAGCTTATCAACCGTATAGAGGTAATGATGCTTTTTATTTCTCTTGAGGCTTAGGATGGGAGGGAGTGGAGAGGGAAGGGAGGGTTAGGATCAGGACTGGGCCTTGGTGAGGGGTGACCGGTAAGACTGAGTCCTCCTCCTTGCTGGGATTTCCTGGATGGCGTTTTGCTATCCCTGAAAGCAACGTGCTGAGATTTCCAGATTAACATTAACTGAAGTTTATGTCCTAAGAGGGCTTGCTTTAAAGGAAGGTATCATAAATGCAGGTACATAAATTGCATTTTGCTGAATTAATCTTTTCTTTTGGGAAACTTTGTTAAATTATTTTTCTTTGCAATACTTGGAGATTCTTTGTGATTGTCCATTTTATTCCAATACGTTGGCTAGTGGGGTGGTTGAGTTCTTTTATTGCTGTATACAGACTCTGAAAAAAACATGTATACCGTTGGAAAAGGTCTTTATATTGTGATTTTTTTCTGGATCATAGATAGAATAGGGATCTGGTAGAGACCCCAAAACAAGATTGTCATGTAGTAATGTGAGGCATATTCTGTGCTATTCAGCCAAGAGGCAAGTACTGTTTTAGTTTCATGTTTACAGATGAAGGAATGGAAGCTTGGAGAAGTTAAATGATGTATCCAAAGTTGGAAGATCTAAGTAAGGACACATGCAAACTTAAAGGGGTGTGTTGGGGATTGTAGAACACAGCAGGGAGGGGGAGGGAGGTGGCCCTGAGATGCTGGAGGACACCAGAGCAAGGGGCATTTCCTCATTAAGGCATGGAGTTTCCTACTAGGAGGAAGGGGCCGTTGTCTTAAAGGCGAGAGCCTGAGGTCCTCTGGGCTTTGAAACCCAAGTTGGAACCCTGCTTCCCTGAGGAAGGGATTCCTGGCGCACTTGCTTTGAAAGGAGCCACACTGTGCACGAGCAGACGAGCCATGGAGATGCAGGGTCGCTTCACATCCAGACAGAGTCTTGGCTTTAGAAACAGGCCTATTTCAGAGTTCTTTTTGATGATATATTCCCCTAGTATACTTAAAATATTTGTTCTATTCAGCTTTGCAACTCAGTGTTTGCATTAATGAGGCTGTGCCTGTGCCCTCACCGGCAGCAGGGGGTGTGCTGTCCCCACCACACACTTGCCGCCTGTCTCCGTCCTGTCAGAGGATAAGGGTGGTTAGTGTGCACTGAGTGTCTTAAGACTGTGCAAAGAATTCTGTCAGATCGTTCAATGCCCACAATAACCCTGTAAAGTAGGAACAATTATCTTCACTTACAGAGGAAGACCTGGGCTCAGAGACGGTAAGGAATTTCTCCATAGTGCAGAGCTTGTAAGGGCAGAGCCAATTCCCTGTCACTCCAAAAGCTGGTGCTTCTCTGTGTGTGTCCTTCACCCCTTTACGTAACAGCTGCTTCCTTAGGGCCTGCGGTGTTCCGGCAGTGTGCTAGGCGCGGGTACACTGACGGCGGAACAGGCACAGCGCCTGCCCTCACGCTGCTTGCGAGTCCCACGAGGGAGACGGACAGAGCAGAGGCTGTGTGGGCGGCTGTGCGTTCCTGCGGACGGCAGAGGGCGCTGTGGGGAGGTGCCCGGCCAGCAGCGGGGGCAGTGCCTGTGCTGGGAAGGCCTTCCTGGGAGTAGTTCTTAGCTGAGACCTTAGGGACTGAGCTGGAGTTACACTGGGCCAGGAGAGGGGACAGACGCGCTGCCCGGCTATAGGAGGGGCTCGTGCCTCGTGGTGCTGGGAGGCCTGTGGGCCAGCAGAGAAGTCAGACACGGACAGGGTGGGCCTTACCCAAGAGCAGTACTGAACCTCAGTCTTGCATTACTTGCTCCTGGGAACGCAGACCAGCTCCACAGGCTGCATCTGTGTTCCAGCTCTGACTGTGCTCCGGCCTCCTGCAGAAGTGGTCAGGCCTCCAGTTGCCCAGATGGGGCAGGTGTGCCGAGTGGCAGAGACCTCAGTTGGACCCTTGTCGCTGTTGGTAGCTTGCATGGCAAGGAGTAGACAGGAGTGCCAGAGCTGTGTTTCGTCATCGTTGTCTCTGGTTTGCAAAGTGATTTAACATCTTTTACCCAACTATAGCCTGAACCTCCCTCTTCCTTCTTACCCCAGAGAGAGTCTGTCACCCAGCCCCACTGATCCCACCTCTCAAATAGCCTGGGATCCACAGGTGTCGCCTGCACTGGGGGAGGAGCCGGAGCCAGATCTTAGAACACATGCCTGCTGGTTCCACTCTCCTGACTGAGACTCTTCAGTGCCGCCCATTCTGCCCTGCCCCCCACCCATCTCCGGATAAGCCCCAAATACTGGCACGAGCTGGGAGGCCTGCGTGGCCTGACCCTTGCCTGCCTCCACCCCAGCCAGTCTCCCTGACTCTCCCCCTCCTTCACTGTCCTCCGGCCCCACCTGGGAGGACAGAGTCCACATGTGCCCGCTCACGACACCTCCCTAGCACACAGCAGGTGGTAAATAAATACATGCTGAAGAGCAACGTGGTTAAAACAATGGCAGCTTCTTCATGGGAGGAGATAAAACATTAGCTGGGTTGATAGCTGTCCTGTACATGCTTGCACCAGGGCAGCTCTCTCTCTGGCCTGTGTGTCTGAGATGGGAGGCCCCAGGGGAAGGACATGAGGTCAGTGTGGAGTAAGATGTCTTTGAAATAATGCCCATGAGGTGTCGCCACGGTGGTATTGTAGGAGAGTCAGGCATTTGGATGACAGGCCTGGGCCAAGTCTCTAGAGGGGAACACTTTCCTCATTGAGGGAGCCATCAGGGTGGCCCAGTGAGAGTAGAATTTCTCCACATTTATGTCGGGGAAAGGTTAAAAATAACTTTTCCTGCCAGCTTAGAAAATGGTGTCCACACATGAGGAAAGAAAGGAAAGAATTTTGTTACTGAGTAGTCACTAACTGGAACTGAGCTGCACCACGGGTGACCTGTTAGTGAGTCTACAGAAACGGGAGAAGTCCCACCATTGACAGTCCGTTACCCACATGACCTCAAGGTTAATTGTAACCTGTCCTCTTGCACAAAGGCCAGACAGCACCGTTGCTGAACGAGCTTTCACCCTAAGCTCCCCTGGTCAGTGGGAAGGCCATCTGTGCTGTTAAATGCCTTTCTCCGAAGGAAAAATGAGAGATCCTTAATTTCTGTGAGCAGGTAGTCAAGGTGCCTAGGCTAAACTCCACGGTGACGGGAGATGGGCTGTTGTGTTTCTGATGTTACCTGTGAGGGAGAGGGCTCCAGGCCCTTCGGGGTGGGGAGCGTTCTCAGGTTTTACTTGTGGCTAGAGCTAGCTTATTTAGCCTTTAAAAAGACTTGTATTCGTATCAAAGGGACAGAGGAAGGATTTACAAACATTAGGTTTTTCAAAGAAATGCTCTAAGAAAAAGGAGGGAGAAAAGTCTCTTTTCCCTTTGGCACCAGGGAAAAGTCAGTTTTCAAAACCTACTTGAACAGTGCAGTAGAATGTTGGACCGGAGCACGCACAGTCTAGGGGTTATTCTGGAGCTGGTTTGTAAGTGCAGTTCCTGCAGTTGAGCGTGGTCTGGATGCCTGCGAGTGGTCAGATCTAGCCCGTAACTTCCTGTACATTGGTCTGAAGGAAAATGTGGATCCAGTTTCTGCTGGTAGGTAACCCTTCCAGGACTTGTCCTCTGTAGCATCCATAATGTCATTTCTCACTCCTACCCATTGTTAAAAACAGAATTCAACTGAGTACATCTTAAAGATCTTACTGGCTTTCTCCAGCGATTCATGGATGGGGCAGCGTCCCATCCAGCAGAGAGAGAGGAGCTCTGAGGAGCTGCACAAGGTGAAAGACTTCCCTGGGCAGGAGGGGGCGGGGACAGGAACTGAGGGCAAAAC